AGTCCCCAATAAAGCGATTTAAAAGAACATCGACTTTGGTTTGTGTGACTTAAATGGGAGCAAATGCCTACAAGGCATATTTTCAAATGTTCCTTGCGGAAAATGTAGAGAAACACAAAAGCTGAGGAATGTAAATAATACAGCAATCAATTGCAAGCCTACTACTTAGTGTTAAAGTGTCAACTGAGTTCTTAGAGGATATTTGAGTGTCATTGCAGTGTTCAGATACTGCTATTTTATGATCATCTCCTACGCTTGAGTATTTAGTGGAGAGTCTTGCTGATCTATATAAGCCCACCCTGTCACTAGGCTGTCAGTAAAAACCAACCATGGACAATAACAATTATTGTTAAGAATCTGGAGAAATTAGAACCCTCATTCATTGCTGGTGGAGATGCTAAATGCTTTGCCAATACTTCCCAAAATGTTAAACAAACTTACCATATGACTCAGCAATTCAGTTCCTAGGTACCCTGTTTCCCCGAAAATAAGACCTACTTACAGTTTTGCCTCTCGCTGAAATATAAGGCATCCCCCTGAAAATAAGACCTCCCTGAAAATAAGGCCCCCTGAAGCTACCGTAACTCTGGACTCTGGACCATAGCGGCGGGCGCCGCAGCACAGCTCACTTTTGGCTGCAGCGCAGCTGGAGCAGACAGGAAGTGCAAGGTCTCTTTTAATAAAACAATAAACAATAAACGTGTACCGTATTCTTCTTCATGGAAAAATAAGACATCCCCTGAAAATAAGACCCAGCGCATCTTTGGGAGCAAAAATTAATATCAGACATGATCTTATTTTCAGGGAAACAGGGTATATACTCAAAAGAATTGAAAACAGGAACTCAAACGAACCCATGGACATGCATGCTCATAGTAGTACTACTTCCCAACAGGCAAAAGGCGAAACAACCCAACTCTCCATGATTGTATGACTGTATACAAAAACTGTGGTGCATACATAGAATGAAATATGTATATAATTCATATAATTCATTCATCTACAAAAAGGAATGGATTAGGATGGATCTCAAAAACATCCTACTAAATGAGAGAAGGCAAACACAAAAGGCCACACCATGCATAATTCTATGTAGAATATCCAAAAAGGAACATGCTATCCAATGAGACCAGCATTTTTAGTGGTTCCTGGAGGGGGCATGGAAAGTGGAAAGGAGAAATCATCGTTTAGGAGCTGCTGAGTATCGGTTAGCTGTGATGGAAAAGTTGTCAATGGATACGGGTATGGTCGCGTTTCAGGATTCATGTGTTCCTGGACTAGAGGTCCTCTCCCCACGCATGGGTGTCCCATGCACATAGAACGCTTTAGAATGCTGCCAGGCCCTGCGCCATGCCCGGAATTGGTGGCAAATGGGACCATTGTAACCGACAGGGTTTTTGTTAGCTGATTTTCAAATCCATCACCAGGCCTTTCTCCTTAATCTGTTTTAGCCTGGAGTGCTGCTGAAAGCTGTTCAGCATCATAGCACTCACACTGAGGGATAAGTACTGAGACCAACAAATCTACCATGGAGCTACTAATGCAATCATTAGTGTAAGTAAGGTAAAAAAAAAGTACTGGAAGTAAATAGTGGTGATAATCACACGACACTGTGAATATAATGCCTCTGAATTGCTCAATTGTATACTTAAAATGATTAAAATGGCTAATTTTATATTACATATATTTTACCACAATAAATTTGCAAAAAAATTAAGTGGGGAATAAGGAAGAGGGAAGGGAGGGGAGGAAGGAAGGGAGGGAGAGAGAAAGACAGGTAAAGAAGCACACCCACAGAGGCAGAAAGCACAGTGGTGGTTGCCGGTGGGGAGGAGTAACTGCTGAACAGATAGAGCAGGCTCCTTGTGGGGGAAAACATATTTTGGAACTAGAGGGAGGCGGTGTTTGCACAACTCCGTGCATGTTCTGAGTTGCTGATTTTAAAGTGGTAACTTCTTGGTTATTTCACCTAAAAAACAAAGGCCCGCAGGGCAGCCGGCGCTGGGCCTGGACGCTAACTCTTTGAGGGCGCTCTCCCGGGCGGGGAGGGGCTGGCGCGCCGGCGCG